CATTTTAGTATGTACCTGTTGAACAGCTGTTGATATATTTTTATTTAATACTTTATCATTAGTTTTTTGATGTTTACTTTGGTTTTTTTTCGAAGCGGTCTCTTGTTGTTTATGGATTGACTTTTTTGTTTCAGATGTCTTATCAGCCTTTGTACATTCCTGTTTTTGTAGTTTGACTGACTTTTTGTTTCTAGATTCTGATTCATTTTGAAATTTATTCAGTAGCTCAATTTGATTGTATAAAATAAGGATTTTTTCATTAAGTTCACGTAAAATAGTGTCTTTTTGTCTTACAACATACTTGAATATATCAACATCCACCTTCTTTTCTATTCCACCGGCTTCCACCACTGCATCAAAGAATGTGTCATCATCTCCATTATTCATCGTAGTTTCACAGCATACTACTGTTTTGTCATCAATGAATTTAACATTAAGTAATTTCGCACAACTCAGATGAAAGTAGTTTTCACATTTTAAACACCTTAAATCGTTTACGGGTTTCACCTTACATCGCTTACACACTGAAACGGTAGAAACACAACCGCCCGTCGCCATTGTCGCCATTCCAAAATAGATATACGCCAAATAGATATACTAGGTGATTGTTTTCTCCGTTACCTCCCCTTTTAGCGGTCAAAACTTTTACAGTAGTCGTATTTTTTTTTATAACGGACAGCAACATGGAAAAGGTCGTTTTATTTAAAAAAATTATTGTTTCTTGAGAAAATCGCCTACAGAAAGCATACTTGAGAAAAATGGCATTATTTGCAGGTCTGTACGTTTCGGTTCGCGTAGCAGTGTCACGGATTTAAAACTTTGAGTTCAGTAGGCGATGAAAACAAGATGTTGATTGCTGTGGCTATCAAGTAATGTCATTATTGTCGTGTTTCTTTAGAATTCTCATCACTCCACTCATCCAAATTATGAAGTGTCCGCAGTGTATCAAGACAATTAAAGATAAGTAAAATAATGTTCGCAAAACTTTAAAAAAGAAACTTCGGCCATCTCATTTGACTCCTGCTCATAAACTTGAACGTTTACAATTTTGCGCTGGTTGGTGAATGGCCTCGCAGAAGATAATAATTTGCTTCAAAAATTATTTTGTACCGACGAATATTGTTTTACAAGGAACGGAGTTGTAAATTTGACACAACAATCCACATCTTGTTTTCATCGCCTATACTAAACTCAAAGTTTTAAATCCGTGACACTGCTACGCAAACCAGCAATTTTTCTCAAGAATGCCTTTCTGTAGACGAATTTCTCAAGAGACAATATTTTTTTAAAATAAAACCACCTTTTTCATATTGCTGCCCATTTTAAAAAAATACGACCACTGTAAAAGTTTTGACCCCTAAAAGGGAGATGTAACCAGAGAAAACTAACTATCACCCGGTATATTGATTTGACTAAAGCTTTAAGAAATAATACGCCATAATAGTCCAAATAAATGTGCCCAATTTTAACGCTATCGGTAAAAGGGTTATGAAGTTATTAATTAAATTAGTTTTATTTTTGACTTTAAATGTTTGTAATTCAAAAACCAAAAATTTTTTATTTAACGTTTTTTTCGTAGATCGTATTTATTATATTTATCGTTGTGAATATACAGTCAAACGTTGTCGGTGAAATTTGCGGACACCCTGTATATAATATACAGCTTCCCCTTTCTTGTCAATTACCAAATTAATCAAAATTCATTGGGTGATCCAATACCTAATTAATTAAAAGTATTGAATGAATAAAGAGAAAAGAAATATTTTAAATATTTTCGTTCGAAATGGCGTTTACAAAGGAATTTAGAATTTAAAGAATTAAATTATTATAATTATGTTTCAAAAAAATGTACGTTCAGGCGAGTAGCGACAACGGGTAGTAAGAATTGCAATCATAGGCGTGGGTATAATTTCGTTGATTTATTTTTATTTTATATAATAATGAAAATGAATATATCTTATTTGGACAATTGCAAATGCCAAACGATAACTTTGTTGAGCTCATTTGTAACACTGAAAAGATATTTCAAGATAATTTTGAACAATTATCCACAAAAAATAACATTTGTAGCACATTTCTTGAATTAATTAAAAGACTACCTTTTAGTCATCCGTGTCATTCTTTTCCGAAAGAATTTGTACTTAGGTTATATTTAAGGGTTAGAATTTATTATACGTTATAAACTATAAACCAAAATTTTAGGAATATTCAAAAAATAAACTTATAATTATGGAGAAATCTGTAATGATTATATTTTTAATACTATATATTATGTTATTATATTTTTTTGTGTATTATATTGTAGGTATGTTTTATAATATGTATAAGTATTAGTCCAGGCTGTATCGTTGCTCCCGCTAGGAACATGATTCTCATTCCAATTTTTTTTCAAAATCTTACTAAAAAAATGACCCTTGAATCATATCCGCATGTTGCCAGACGTTACTAATGGTCAAAAATTGTTTAAACAATTTTTTTTAAACAAATTCGTAATTTTCGATTTTTTCGCTCGAAATACATTTTTATAGGCTTTTTGGGGTATTCTGAACAAATATGTTCATATGCAACTTTTCTCTAAAATCTACTGTTTTCGAGATATTAACGATTTTTTGTTCGAAAAAAACGCGATTTTAACCATTTTCTTCTCTAAGGATTACGTCAGTAAACAGGAACTTAAACAAGGAATTTTAATTACTCTTCAAGGTTTCTTTTAATAATCCGTATTAACTCCAAGTACAAAACCTATTACCTATCTAAAATATCCATTTTCTACTTTTAATGTCATACCACGTAATATTCTAATTCAAATTTCATATTATTAAAATTACCTACTACGATACTGTCAGGTAGAAACTAAATATTTTATTTCAATAATAAAAATTCTTTTAATCCAGCCCCGACAATTCCGCTTAATCTGAGAGTTAGCACGATTCCGTCTCGCTTGGTTCTCGACCGCCACATCAAAGGCGCCGACACGGACTCTTCCAGCTGTATTAAGCTGTGGTCAAGGCTTCTATTCATATTTATAATTGGAAAAGCTATTTTACACAACAAATTAGAAAAATATTCCTAAAATGTATTCTAAGAGAACAATTCAAAGGTATAAAAAAGATCTTTGGGGACAGTATTTAAATAGTCATAGTAGTACTTTTAGGAAACATTTTGGAAATCATATTCATATACACTTTTTTATATTACTTTTGAACATAGAATCGAATGATATAATCTATTTTACTTGCAATCTCTTAAAATTTCAAGAGACAAAAACATAGGTAATTATTGCTCAACACTTAAAAACGTTGTAGGGTGATGTATGTCCCTTTGTCACTTATTAAAAAATATACAGGGTGTTCCTAAATAAGTGTCGCAACGGAAAACTGTAAATTCCTGTTGAAAAAAGAAACATATTTTCCTCTTCCATTTTTCTCTCCGGGCTTTCGTTTTCGAGATACACGGTGTCAAAACTTTAATTTTTTTTTAGTTTTTCGCCAATATCTTAGGAATCGTTTGAACTACAGGACTGAGCTTTTGTACACACATAACCACTATTAATAGCTACTTTTTCGCACCCTTCTCGAATTCATTGGACGTGCCAGTGGTGGAGATTTTAAGGTATCGTAAGGGTTTTTCCCCCCTAAATTTTACGCCACTGGAAAAATGGACTTTTGACAGCAAATTCTAAAGCGCCAATGAATTTTACACAATAAGAGTTCTCTTGGTTCATTGCTCTAAAGTCAACCGTTTTCAAGAAAAATGACTTTTTATGAACAAAAGCAAACATTTTTGCTAACGTTCCATGTCAATACTATCGAAAAGTTGACCGATAGAGGTGAAGCCGCAGCGGCAGAAAGAAACATGATTAGAAGATGTAATGCGTGCATTCAAGCCAACGGACGTAATTTTGAACAGTTTCTGCAAAACAGTTACTCGCCAAATTGATAAAAAAAGTTAAAATCCTATCTGTTGTTAAATTTCGTTAAAATTGTTAATTATTACTACTTATTTTTTTAATTACAAAAGATTTTCGAAACGTTAGCAAAATGTTTGCTTTTGTTCATAAAAAGTAATTTTTCTTGAAAACGGTTGACTTTAGAGCAATGAACCAAGAGAACTCTTATTGTGTAAAATTCATTGGCGCTTTAGAATTTGCTATCAAAAGTCAATTTTTCCAGTGGCGTAAAATTTAGGGGGGGAAAAACCCTTACGATACCTTAAAATCTCCACCACTGGCACGTCCAATGAATTCGAGATGGGTGCGAAAAAGTAGCTATTAATAGTGGTAATGTGTGTACAAAAGCTCAGTCCTGTAGTTCAAACGGTTCCTAAGATATTGGCAAAAATCTGAAAAAAAAATTTGATCCGCGTATCTCGAAAACGAAAGCTCGGAGAGAAAAATGGAAGAGGAAAAATATGTTTCTCTCTTCAAGAGGAATTTACAGTTTTCCGTTGCGACACTTATTTAGGAACACCCTGTATATTACACTCAAATCACAACAACGATCTGAACAAAATAAGAATTTTTTTTAAAATGATATAGATAAGTTGGTCTATATCGTTTAGTATCTCAGAAGTATGTGGTCGAACGGTGTTCCCCCTATATAGAAGCAAATAAACGTTTCATCATATAAGTGTTTCATAATAATTTAGATGAAGAAGATGGGCATATTAATTTAAAAATATATGTGGAACCTTGTGTGCAATAGAGACTTGAAAAATATAATGATTTCCAATATCTCACAACTTCCGGTGTAACCGGCATACATACATATTTTAGTAATTCGTTGGAATATTTAGACATATTTACTCAAAACATAAGGAGTCACATGAACCAGGTAGACAAAATTTTCAATATATATCCTCCAGATAAAATAGATGTGTAACTGCATAATTTTTTTCCTTATAGGTACGCGTGTAGAAGTATTTGTTAAAGTAAACAAGCAAAGTAGAATGATTCATACTAAATTAACGGCATATTATTATAGGTGAAAGTGTAATGTTACCTCTTCTGAAATTTTTAAAATTCCAGAATAACTCTTGAGATATTCCAATCCAGATACTTGCATCTAATAACAAATTTAGTTTAATGATAAGTTTACATAGTTGAATGACAACTTACGCTCATGGCTTCTATTTTTAACAAACACTAACCTAACTGTGCTATATGACGAGATAAGTCTTATCTGAAAGATAGGATAATATCTGTTCAATGATTAGATAATTCAGAAATATTACTAAAATCTGTTAATAAAAATATATATGAGTAGGTACCTACTTGTTTGCGTCCATTATCGTTCATATATTTTTTACACATTGTTTTCCAATTTTACTCTCATGTTGTAACATTTATATCTCGTCAACGGCAACTCCTACCCTATACCTAAGTTTTAAGTGTGTGTGTCAAAAGATAGCTTATTTGAGATATTTTTTTAATTATTTTTTTATAACTTTTATAACAAACTTAGTAGGCGACTATAACGGCGCACCGCAGATAGAACCGCACATAACAGCGTACTCTAGCGATATCAAATAGGTCGGTTGGGCGCCAGGACATGGATTTTGATAGGTTTCGCTAGCTCTTGATGGCTGTGACCTATTTGCTTCGCCTCAAAGCATCATGAGCGGATCATAGTCCCTCATAATGAGATCGGTGGGATGGTGTTGACCTGGGTCCTTTCTCACCCTCGGTGCTAGGTCGTCACCTGCTCGCTGGTGAGGAGGTTCCTCTGTATCTCTGTGATTCCCTTTTGACCTAAGTCATTGTGACGCTCGATATGCTCAGGTGGAGAGTTCACGACCTTTTGAGTGGTTGGTGTGACCTGAGAGGCCTTGGAAGCACTGATACTTGCTTTTTCCAAATTTAGGCCCTTTGGAAATATTTATGGTTCAGATTTTTTTTTTGTTTACCCTTTATAGCACTTGCGGGTTTGATACCCTTATGTCTAAAAATCTTTGTCTCTTGCATATATTTATGTACTGTTGTACGGACTGCGTGGAGCGCCAGATCGAAAGCTTGAATGAAGCTTGAATTACAATGTATACCTGAGAGAGTATTGGGCTCGGGTTTATAGATTTCTTGTAGAGAAAGAATGAGTCAGATTAAGATTTCAGATACATTATTTATGCTTGGTATGACAGTACAGAAACGTAGCGGTTTCAAATGCGAACTCTTTTGTTTGTCGAGTAGGTACACACTCTGGCCGGGTTATTACGTCCTGGTTAAATAACTGCAAACGACCAGGGTGCGTGTTTACTCGCCGGCGGGGTGAATTCTGGTAGTCTGCCTGTTGCGTGGTTCGGTTTAGTGTCACCCCATTCTGGTCGAGGATGACTGCATTTCTGGTTAAGTTAGAAGTCTGAAATTGGACAATGTTAATATAGACCTTAAGGTGTCTTGTCGTAGGTTGAATTTGAAGTCAATATTTTTCGTTGATTTTTCAAAAGTGAGTCGAAAGTTTTTCCCGTTTTTGGCTCTCGTCAGCAACCTCGGGAGTAGGTTTGGCACGAGTTGTCGTCGTCGTTCGATGGAACGAAGAACTCTCGGCGTGGTATTTCCTGTCCAATCGACTCGACGATGATTTTTGGAAACATTGGCAAATTAACCTCTTGAAAAAAATAATTGGTGAACAGGAAGAAAAGTATACATTGTTAAAGGAAAATAAGCATCTGTTGGAAGAAAATACTAGGTCATTAAAGGAGAACAATGAATTCATACAAGGTAAAATAAAAGAAAACGTGAAACCTGTAAATGAGGTGAAGAACAGATAAAACATCAGGAAAAGAAAGCATATAAACAAACAAAGGAATCTTAAACAAAAAATCAAAAGTTACAAACAGTGCAGGAAGTATCAGAGAGAAATAGAGAATATGCAAGTCAAGAAATAGAGGATGAAAATGTACAGGGATTTGATAATGAAAAATAGCAAAGTTATAGTAATAGAAGAACTTATCGATCAAGAAATAGAAAGCCATTGTTTTATGGAATGTCCCAATTTGGATATTGTAGTGGAAAAACAAAATCTTTACCACGATTATCAAAGTGCATTTAAAGTAGGAATATCTGTAGAATTTGAGTAGCAGGTAAACATTGCAAATTTTTCATTCGAAAATTAATAAATTAGGTTTTTTTCTAGCAAGAAGGAAACAACTATATAAATATAAATAATAAAAAATAAAATATCAGTGATTCATCAAAATATTCAGTTAACATCCAGAAAGTCAATTTCTGGCAATAACAGAACATTGAAAATATCAATGGCAGCTGAAATTATATGATATCAAAGGTTTTACATGGCGTCAAGTTTTTGCAGAAAAGAAGGGCAAAATGGAAGTGCAGCAGTGTATTTTCGCAACATAATAGGTCTGTTTCTGCAGCAGTTGAGGATTGATCGGAAACTATCAGAGATATTTGGCCAATCGATTCGTGACATATACACAATTATGTAAAAATTTAAGTGGTCGAGTGCATCTGATAGTTTGAAAACAGTTTGAGACTCCGGCAGAAACGAATCTAATATTAGGAAAAAGTGAATATTCGAGTGTATGTGCTGCGATAGTGATTAGTATATATATACGCCTCCAGGTTGTAACATAGTAGAATTTTATGATAAGTTGGAACAAATGTTGTTAGTATATGATATAAACGAATTGATATTTGTGGCTGGAGATTTTAATATCGAGTTTAAAAGATAATGTAAAAAATATATCTGATATTGACCTCTTATTACATTATTTTTCATTCCGGAGAACTGTAAACGATTATACAATAATTACATATGACTCAAAAAGCTGCATTGACAATATGTTCACGAACTGTAATCAGATCATACCGCACAAAAACTTACTTTTTTTATACAGGAGATAAAGAAACAAACACGCATATCAATATAGTAAGTTATTTAATGAAAGAAATAAAACAAAGTTTTTACAAATATTAGAAGAACAGAATTGGGATCTTGTGTACTCTAACGATGTCAGAGAAGTAAATGAACAGTGGCATCACTTCATAAATAATTTTTTAAATATATTTTATGAAAGCTTCCCACTTCAGTGGATACCAGAAAATAAAAAAAAGGTGAGTTTTTGTACAAATGATTAAATACGTCATTGTAAGAATAGACTTGATACATTGTTAGTTCTGTCAAATAATAATATAAATTATAAAGCTATTTTTATATAGAACGGCTCTTACACACGGACGTTATTTTAATTTACACATAGTTAAATACGTCTTTAGACACGAAGTGCGGGCCACTGCATTTGAGTCTTCCTAAAATTCTGCTGGTGCTCTATCGACAATTCGGATGTTTAAATCTACTGGCCTATTCCAGTAGTGGTCTGGAGCGATAGCTATTTTGTCTGTGCTTGTCTATTTTGTCTCCTTTGTAACCACATGTTCTTGATATTTCATTTAGTTTTCGTGATATTGTTATTTGAGTATACCTAACGTGTTTAAGTGTCGGTGAAGATTTTTTAAATGTGAAACTTTCTGTAACAACAATGTAACATAAAAATTTGCGTGAAACTGCGGAAAACTGTCACGGAAACGTTTCAACTTTTTAAACAAGTTTACATAGATGCTCTATGTCGTACGCAATATTACGAATGGTTTTCACGATTTAAAAGTGGTCGTCAGTCAATTCAGGATAATCGTCGACCAGGAATGCCTTCGACTTCAGCAAATCGCCGATTGACTGTCGAAAAAATTGCAGAAGAGTTTGAATTTTGAAAAATTGATATGCATCGATTTGCAGCAAAATTTGTTCTTCGTTAGATGACCGAACAACAGACAGAAAGTCGTGTGGACGTTCGTTGGCAACTTCTTGAACAATCCAGTGACGATGAAACATTTATTCAAAGGATCATAACGGAAGACGAAAACTGAGTTTACGGCTACGACAGTGAGATCAAAGTTCAATCATCACAATGAACTGGCAGAGGATCTCCACGTCCCAAGAAAACACGCCAGTCTCGATCCAATGTCGAAGTGATGCTCACTGTTTTTTTTTTACTTTAATGGAATTGTGCATTTTGAATTCTTGCCAAGGTGAAACAGTGAACCGTGTGTACTATCAAGGTGTTTTATAACGGTTAAGAATATCAGCAAAAAAGAGACCAGAGTTGTGGCGAAATAACTCATGGTTCTTGCACACTCAGCTTTGTCAATTCGTCAGTTTTGTGCCGAAAATCAGATTACAGTCCTCCCTCATTCTCCTACTCGCCAGACCTGGCTCCTTAAGATTTTTTCTAATTTTTTAAACACAGCTGGGAAAAGTGGGAGGGAAGTACTTCGAAGGAGACAAGGATCAATAGTGTATAAAATTAATAATACAATTAAAGTTCGGTTATTTTCTGAACTGACCGCGTATTTGATTAAATATGAATTTTTGTAAAAAATCGAAGAGCTTTATACTTCTGGATGAATGACGCTTTTTTGTTTAAAATAATTCAAAGAATAACTTCTTGAACTTATGATATGGACTGGAGAAAATACTCTATATCAGCGGATTCAGCGGTTTTCAAACTTTTACAATTCGCGGAACCCGACCAACATTTCGATTTTTTTGAGGAACTCACATCTAAAAAAAATTTGGAACACATTTTTTACTAATTATATAACATATTTATAAATACTAGTTTTAAGAAGGAGTGTAAATTTTTTGAATTTTGTAGTATCGATAATGTTAATTTTATAAATTTTAAATTTTGAATTTTTGACATTTTGAATACAGGTGCTCTATGTCTATCTTTGAACGGTATACCTAATCAATCAAAAGAAAACATTTTGTTGCTTCCAAAAATAAAAATTATTAAGTAGTGCTTATAATAAAATGAACTTTACAAAATTTAAAAAACAAACAACTATAAAAAATATTTATTAGTCAAGTACCTACATATCAAATAATAATCTTAAAAAAATTGTACGACAAAATTGTTGTATTTCAACGAAAATTTAATATCAATACTACATATTTGTTTCACGGAAAACTAAGCCACCCCTTGCAAATATGAAGTAGATGTAATGCCATTCCGTTGATCTGTGGCTCCATAACTGTAACTGTATGGTGCTAAATTGAGACTAGACGCATCTCTCTTCGGCCACGCTTGGCTTTTGTAGCTATTACATGCTATTAAACTGTTCATACCAGGAGGACGGCTTTTTTCAATTGATATTCCATTACCGACGGATCTTATGCTGAAAAGATAAATGAAACCACTGTTAGAAAGAACAGACACCGATACAGGCAAGGAATTATTTTTATTTCATAAATCAATACTGATAAACAGCCAAAAATGTATACAAAGAAAGATATTGATTAATTTACTGAAAAAATTATCGCATAGATATTATGGACAAGACTGCAAAAGTACTTCCAGTTAAGACATATTTACATTAGTACATTAAGTAGTAGAATATAACAGCATACTTTTTGTCCAAATCGCTCTACTAGTTTTCGTAGAGAAACCATAACACCGGTACACACAAAAAAAATCTCGAGTGGAAAGATGTAGACTCCCGTAGTGCTATTCATTTTGATGCCAATAATCGATAAAACATACTCTTAGTCAAAGTGTGACTCTTAATATTTAGGGTTGGCCGTTTTAATTAATAGAATATCATACACACAAAAAAGTCCTATCCCAAAGATCTGACATCATTTCCGAACTAACGGTGAAGAAACAAATGTGCAAAATTTTCAGCATTAAATAAAAAGAATGAATTTGACTGAAATTGGATGAAACTACAGAAAAAGATAACCGTTGGGGTGCTCAACAAATACCCGCAATCCGGACCCTCAATTTCGAAATGGCGGCCTACTGCAAATTCATAAACTCGAAAATGCGAGCGCGTATACAGGGTAGGAAAGTACCGATGGTCTATCTGAAGTTACGTGAGAGCGATAAAGTAAGCCATAGAAATCCATATGATAGACAAGGATGGGTATAGTGAAGGCGTCTAATAGTCACCGCCCATTTCGCCCTTCCACAAATAAGAAGTGGATCTTATTTGTGGAAGTGCGAAACGGTCGGTGATTATGAGACGCCTTCATTATAGCCATCTTTCTCTATCGCATGGATTTCTATGGGTTACTCTATCACTCTCACGTAACTTCAGATATACCATCGGTACTTTCCTACCCTGTATATTCTGCCCCAGTCAAGATATCGTAATTCGGTAAAAAAGGATCGAAAGGTAATTACATTGTCTCGCGTTTGCACAAATTTCAGATTTTTAAGTTGGAAAATAAAAAAGTTATTAACAAAAAACCAAAAAAAAAGGCAACTAGGGTCATTATCTCAGCAGTTTTTTAATATACAGATTTCAAACCAATTACATCAAATAGTGCTTAAAAAAACATGAATTTAAAAACAAAAATGTGTCTCGATCCGACCAATAGAAGCCGGGATAATTTTTTTCTTAAAAACGGTATTCTGGCTGTCCTATTTAATATTTTGTAATAAACTTGGGCTCGTTGTAAAGTAGAAGACTTCCTTTATTTAATGGATTCGACTAAGAAATTACCATGTAAACGTTCATTAAAGGCAGAGTGATCCGCGCGATGGTCCACGCGGCTGAGCGATAGCCATGCAGGAGAGAGGAGCGTTGTGACGTCATAATGCCCATGCTGCGCTTGACTTCTCAAAATTCTTACGTGGCACTTAGAAAGCAGCTACCGGGATGACTTTTTTTTAAATCAACTTATTTTTTCCGCTCTTTTGAATGGTGTAAACAAAAGTCATCGCCAGACTTCGAAAAATATATTTTTATTGACTTTTCTTGAAACCGTTTCTTACTGGAGTGCACATCTTTGCACTCGACTTTTTTTTGTGTGCCGGTGTTATTAATGCCGATTTGAGTTGGTAGATTATGTAGTGCCCTAGCATAACGTTTGCCCAAATTACGTTACTCTACATTCAAACCTAACTGTTTCACAAAAAAGTGGTTCCCATCCGATTACTTTTTCTTATTGGTAATTTATAACTTGTAGTTGCGAGTGAGTATATCCTATTGTCTCCTACGACTGTAGAATATACAGGGTGTTTTCAAAAGAAATTTTACACACATTTTTTACTTGTGCAACTTCTCGACAATTTTTTAAAATTTCTGCCCCTTGGAGGGGGTTGAAATAAGCATCCCCTAATACGTATCAGATAGCCTAGTTTATTTTAAAGTTTTAACCTCCCTCGCTTTTATGGCTAAGTATTTCTAAATTCTTAATATACTCCTTATGTAAGCAAATAAAAAATGTTTTCCTTTAAATTAATTAAATAAAAAATAATTCATTTTAATTTATTATTTGATATGAAATTAAATGTTTGCCAATTAAGTTATAAAAAAATATAGATATGCTCTATAAATAGATTGGAATTCCTTCATGCTGATAATATATGAAATGTTAAATCCTCGGTTAAATCTTAAGTAATGAGGTCTTAATTAATTAATTAATACTGAAATGTTTGATTTTTTTTGTTTAAGCTAAGGAACTGGAGATACAAAACCGAGAAAACATAAATTAATTACCCCTGCCTTTTTTAACCGTATATGTGTACTCGTACGAGTATATATTTAAACTTAACTTTGAATGGAAAAGACTAAATAAAATTTTACACCATTTTTGTAAACACAGCTCACCTCTTCATACTCTCCGTAGTACTGCTCTGACTTTGCGACTTTATATAAAGGCTGGTGTCTCCACTTGCCAATTTATCTTCTTTAATTTCAACATATGCTGGATGAGTTTTTGAAAAGCAAATAAATATTGTGACTGCAAATCCAACAAAAAGATGAATTGCCATTATAAATATTGAAGCGTTTCTAAAGCCTATACTATCGTATAGAATACCACTAATTGAAGGTCCAATAAATGCCCCTAAAGCAAAGGTACTTGTCCATAATCCAGATATTAAGCCAAACGTTTCTAAATTGTTAGGAAAACCATGAGCTCTGAAACATAAAAAATACTTATTTACTATTGGTACTACCTGTGCCGTGTATTCGTAGTCTTTACTTAGATATTACTTGAATTTCTTTATAATACTTCAATAGACTCTTTTAGTATGACGTCACATATTTAGGCAACCCGCAACAAATTGTCATAGTTGAAATTGTACAGACCGAATCTGACCTAGTTACGTAGATATTATAAAAATCACAACTTTAAATTATATTAAATTTTATTTATTAAATTAATTTATTTTTACAAGGATTTAGAAGTAGTATTTAAGAACAACCAATACGTGTTTCATAAAATAGATATACTAATGTGCTTAAAACTTACAAAAAACAATATAAAAGAATATTCATAAATTTAAATAGAATAATTTAACATTAACCGTGTTAATCCTAATGCGCTTGCTTGGACGGGATAGTCTCATACGAAGGTAATATCTTGTTGATAAAGTCATCGCTGTTGTCTTTAGCGTATTTCCTCTTCTTTTGTATAATCTTGGCATTTTCTACTTCTACTATTTTTATTGTTTGTCTTGGTGTTGTACTGCGTCAGTGTGTTTTTCTTCAAGTGATTTATTATAGCCGATACCAAACTTTTCTTGAATAATATCCTGTTGCGAGGCTATATCGCTTAGGTACATGAAATTATCTTTAATGCGCATGCTCAGTAACATTGATAATTTTAATTTATTTGTTAGGTACTGTAAAAGTAAAAAATGTTCTATAAATTTAAATATATAAATTCTATAATTCTTTTAGTTTGCCACTTGGGGTTTGAAACTTCTTAAATATTTCTAATTTGCCAGAATATCACGACATTTAAGGTTATGACAAAGAAGACATCTTTTTGGCACTTATGTCCCAAGGTCGAAAATCGATTTGGCAAAAATATTGGGAAATTCTTCATGACAATGTGCCCTATTAGACCAGGAAATCTAGCCCGAAAATTACCATTTCATGTTCATGCATAATTCTTCGGTCAGGCTGATTTTTTGTGAGCAGATAGTAAAAATAGTGTAGAATAATATGTACCGTATCCGCACGCTGAAAAAGGCGGGCGACATTGTTTAAAAGTAAAAGTTGATCAAACATGCCGTTTTAGTAGAAATTCGCGTTTTTCGACTGTAACTTTTTTTCTGACGGTTCTACAGAGAAATTTTTTGTTCGCCTTTAAAAGATCTACAAAACGACGTCTAGAGCTCGGGGGTAAAAAAATATCAATCCGGTCAAAAAAAACGCCAATTATGCAATTTTAAATAAACAATAATAAATCACGATTTTATCACAGATGCTTCTTCGGATAACACAATCATTCCTCACTGCAGACAAACAATTTATACGAAAGCCGGAATCCATTAGTGGATTATTTCGCGAGTTATGGCCTTATAAACCAATTAACTAATTAACGATCTGTACAAATCTGAGCGGTACACGAAGTCGCGCCAATTTTTTTATTGGTAGATTTAACAAAAAGCGATCGAGTTCCATTGTTTTTTCTCAAAAATGCATTTTTATAGCGAAGGGAAATTATTTAAAAAATTTCTTTCGTTGCAAAATTAAATACGCCCTTAATTTATAATGATTTTAGTGTTTTATTACATGTACTAAAAGAGAATAAAAAAACTTCAATTTGAAAAAAGATTCGTCACGATTCGTTAATAAACAGCGGAGTAATAGGCTTTCAAAGTTGGCGGTCTATTGTTGAATAAATAAAGTGCAGAGCGAAAAAAAATTATGCACATAATCAGCAGCCGGAGTGCTTTTCAGTACAGTAAATATTAATTGTACGGGCAAGAGAGAAGTCACATAAAACAATTTTCGAAACTTAGCCGAGCGTTCGATTTTCCATTAAGTGTCGTGGCGGTGTGGTGGGGGAATCTGATCGATCGCGTTTTTCACTCTAGAAAAAAGTTGTTGCGCTTATTCAAAATCGATAGCGCAACTTTAGTCTTACTTTTCTCTGGATCTATAAAAGATAAAATAATATATACTTTTTTTAATTTGATAATACGCGACAAGAGGAATTGATTTATGCAGCCAACAACCACAAAAAATTAATGTATCACGTTCCAATGTGCATTAAGTATTAAGTGAGTAATTTATTGCAACAATATTCATAAAAAAATTGGGAAGATAACTGCTGAAGGATAGGTGATTTGTGAGACATGTATAAAAACTGATATTTATTACGATTAATGCAAAATTGCGTGTAAAATAAATCTGATTATTTTATTAAGGACATATACAATATATACAACATTTTAGCAGCATTGTTCTACACTATTTTCACTCCCTGCTCACAAAAAATCAGCCTGATCGCAGAATTATGCATACGTACCTCTAACCTCTATATTTCCTGGTCTAAATAAAGACCCACTCACATCAACTTCAGCAAGATTATTAAGCATAATCGGATAATTTTTCTTATCAAAAGCTTTACTAAATTTTGGGTAAATAGAAACACTTTTTACCTGCAACTTACATTTAAAAGATGCTATTTGGTCGTTTGGTGTTGATATATTATTTAATAGTTATACATACTTACACACTTGTCCTTAAAGCATCTGTGAAGGAAGCAACTAACTGCGCTGCCATGCCTAAACCGTGCAAAACCAATCCACAAATGGTCAACCATAATATCCTAAAATTAAATAGTTATTGGTTCATATTCTATTTTTCATTAATATATACAGTGCTATTTTTTTAAAACCTGACATAGGCCAACTTTTTTATTTGAAGTGATAGACTATAGTATTTCCAAATGCAAAGTTGTAGGAAATAACTTGATTAAGAAAAATTTACAAATAATTATTTCCGATGTTGCCAGATTTCTGCAGTAGCTACATAAACGATATTTTTTTAAATAGCAACACCGTATTTTTTTAACATAATTTGACAAACCTTCAAATTCTAAATAAAAAATGTTATCACATTTCCTTATTGGAGGAGCCGTTTTCGAACAATCAGCAAAAACAACGAAAATAATCTGCAGTCGGCAGGAACTAAAAGAAGCTAAAACATCAATAGTAGGCCTTGGATATTAAACAAAAATTGTATTGTTTGAAAGGAGCTATCATTATTGTATTGTCATTGTGTTATTTGAAAGCTGTTGTATTTGTATGTGTATAAAAGTAACGTTTTAATTCTATTGCGAAGATGATTTTCAGCGTTTTGCAGATCCTACCAGTTGTTTTCAGTTTTACTAAGTTAGTTCTTAAAAATTCCGGATTTGGAAAAGGCTTATCGGGAATTGCGTGGAATTCACCGCACGTATTGTTTATACTTAAGCCATTAACATGAAGAAAAATTAATTCAACTTTCTCTTTTGGATTAAATAATTGATTCATCTTAGCAACTGAATTGAAACGTTATTTTTATGCACATTCAAAAACAACAGCTTTCAAATAACACAATGACAATACAATAATGATAGCTCCTGTCAAACAACTCAATTTTTGTTTAATATTCAAGGCCTATTGCTGTTTTAGCTTCTTTTAGTTCCTGCCGATTGCTGATTATTTTCGTTGTTTTTGTTGATTGTTCGAAAACGGCTACTCCAATAAGGAAATGTGACATAACATTTTTTATTTAGAATTTGAAGGTTTGTCAAATTATGTTAAAAAATACGGTGTTGCTTTTTAAAAAAATATCGTTTTTGTAGCTACTGCAGAAATCTGGTAACACCAGAAATAATTGTTTGTACATTTTTCTTTATCAAGTTATTTCCTACAACTTTGCATTTGGAAGTACTAGTCTATCACTTCAAATAAAAAAGTTGGCCTATGACAGGTTTTAAGCAAATAGCACTGTATATTAATAAAAAAATATTCTTACGTTGGTACAGGTATAAAAGGTGCGGGACCAATTAACATGAATCCTGCAGCGACAAGTATTGTTCCTACAATTGTAACAATTTTTGGATTATAGAACCGATCACACAGCCATCCAAATCCTGGAGCTATAATCGCGTACGTTCCTCCATTTACTACAAACATAAGCCCCAATTCAATGCCTGTTAAATTAAGGGGCCGAAGATGAGGTTCGAATGTGGCTTGAAGAAACCCGATGGAAATACTTGTCACTATAATGCTAGCCGCAGCTAACATCACTCCTGGAATCTTGAGAGCTTTGAATATTGACGCTGTAAAAAGTACAGTTTTATGTCGAAATTTACTTTTGTAAATTAATATTTCAATATAAAAATATAATATAATAAAATAATATTAATATAATATAAAAAATTCTAATTCGTTTTCCCAATAAACCAGAACAGTCTAGCAACAATTCTATTTCCAAAATCGCCTGCTGTCAAAGTTACACCCCTTTGGGTCCAGATTATATATTTCGCTCAGTTGGAGAAATACAGAAGAGAAGAATGCAATTTGAAATGTTACTGTATCTTTCTTTATTTAATCTTCTGCGATTCTCGAAAGGGGTTGAAAATGTCAACCCGTAACGATTTTTCATTACATCTTTTTATAAAAAAATTGAAATTCAGAGAATACCATTTAAAAATTTGGCTATTTAATAACATTTAATAATTTCTTCAAATTGTTGAGTGGCTAATATATGAGTAGGTAATCTTCTTAGTGCTTCCATTTCAGAAGTAACTGTTTGAGCGTGTGGTCATTTTCTGCGATATGTTTTTTAAAACTTTTGGTCCTAATAAGAACCGAAATGAATATTAGAGAGGAGCTAGAGATTTTAATAGCTGGCCCACCCCCATAGAACCTAGTCCGAGAACAACAAGAGCAGGCCAAAGATTTCTAGATGACGCTAAGGAAGTGAAAGGTAATTCTGTAACTTGTAGCGGCCAATATAAATGAGTATAACTCTTATAGAAGACATTTTTGGAAATAAGTTTGAATAGAAGACTTCCTTTTTGGCAAGGAATCGTTTCTTAAATATTTTCCTTCTAGAAACTTCCTTCTAGAACAGAAACAAGCTTCTAGATGTACTTAGTGTAAATGTTATAATGGTCTAGTTCTTCATCACTAGGTTTTTTTTATTAAAAAAAAAACTCTATTTCATCAATTTATAATACATAATATTGTTTTTAAGCAGACTTCTATCTAGAAATGCCTGAAGATGAAAATTTATCAATTACTGACATCAGCTTAAAATTTTAAAAATATTAGGTCCTGTTTAAAAATATGGATATAGTTTATGCCTAAAGAATACTAATTACTAGTTATAATCAGTAATTGGCTATTTTTTGCTTCTTTCAAAGCTTTTTAAATTTTTAAGCAGAACCTTCATACAGGGTAGGAAAGTACCGATGGTCTATCTGAAGTTACGTGAGAGCGACAAAGTAAGCCATAGAAATCCATGCGATAGAGAAGGATGGCTATAATGAAGGCGTCTCTTAGTCACCGCCCGTTTCGCCCTTCCACAAATAAGATCCACTTCTTATTTCTGATAGACCATCGGTACTTTCCTACACTGTATAATTAAAACATTAAATGTGTATAAAAATAATATTCTGCACTATAAAGCGATGAAATTTGAGATAAAGATATTTTACATGGATTAAGGCTATGTAGCTGGTATTGATAGATTTTTAATAAAAAAAATTCCTAAAATGATTTTCTAAATCACTTCTAAAAAATATCCCAAGCAACCTTTGAATTACCAACTAGATCATCGCAAATTCGATCGAATCGTGAAAAAGTAAGTTTTTTATTTAATGGGACATTCTATATTCGTATTCGAAAAACTTTTACAGTTAGTGATAACATTCCTTAAATATTGAAGATAACATGGTCTGTTAAAATGTATAAACAGTTAAATAGTTATAATTAGAAGTGAAGTATTTTATAATGTGAAAGGAAAAAGTACAAAACTTATTTGAAAACTTAAATTTGAGATATCTAATTAAATTAAATGATTTATTTCAGATCAGTAATAAGTAAGGTAATACTTACGTCCAGCTTCTCTGTCTGTACCGGCTTCATGTTTTGGTAAAACTATAGCTGTTAAGATAGCAGACATAAACAAGGCAGAGCCCATAACTGCGAAAGGCAGTGTATACCTTCCAACTTCATAAAGAGCTCCACCAACAGTTGGTCCAACTATTAGCCCCAAACCGAAAAATGTTTCTAGAGATGCCTAGTTACAAAATTAAAAAAATATATAATATTTGAAATCAGAACCCGGCTAACCGGCTAAAATAGGATAGGTACATACTATTTTTGGTCAGAAGAAATCTGTAAAAGTAATAACCAAGATATATTGGCACTTTATCAAATGGGCAAATAGAACTTAAATACTAAATTTCAAATAATATCGTTTTCGTCAAAAATGTTACTAGAGTAGATGTACATATATGCTCAGGTACTATCATGTGGTTCTTTAGATTTCACTTGAAATTCTGAAATTCCAGAGATGAATTACTTATTAAAAAATAAGTGTAAGTTGTAAGTGTAAGCTTTTGTCCTAGGAGATTCATTTTTTGAGATACAAAGCATTAAAATACTTTGAAAAATAAGTCAGTATTTTTATTATATGTTAATAATCTATAAACGGATTCGAAACAGATTTGGTGCAACTTATAAACGAAGAGAGGTCTTTTAATTGGTGGAATTTTAGTTCTAACACTTTTACCGATGTGCGGGGCCCCAAAGTACGCAACTGAATTCTTCCGAAAATAATTAAATAAATTTAAATCTACCAAAAACAACTCTTACAATTTTTTGGGAATGTACGCTGTTTACGAGCTATTTCGTTTCACTTTCTAACTATTAAGTGGATGTTATTGCAGAAAAACTATTGGCACCATATCTGTTATACATAAGAAAATTGTTAATCTTCGACAAGAAAATGTTCATTAATAATCTAAAGTGTACCAAAACAAGTATTTTTTTTTAATATACATATATGTCGTATCGAATTAAATTATGTAGTTTAGTAATCTTTGCTGATCCCAATCTGTTTGTATTGGTAGTATAAACCATATCTTCCACACAAAATAATACAATGCAATTAACACGGGAGAACAAGGCAGACATTGCTTTCACACAAGAATTTTTTATAATATTTATTGATGATAACATTAGTAATCGATCCATCCAATGCTGTGCATATTCTTGTCCAGTCCTGTTTTTGTAGACCAACAGGGGAGAATGTTTGTCTCTATACCCAGAAAAAAGCGGAATAGCTCATAAATAGCACATTTTTCAGAAAAATAATCAGAAAAATTTTTGATAGATTTTGGACAGTACATCAGAATTTATTATTTTTTTCGAAAATACTCATTTATATATAAAAAAAAAAACTGGCTGCACACCAGAGACTACAACAGCGGTCTTCAAACTTTTACGACTTGCGGAACCCCGCCAACATTTAGATTTTTTTAAGGAACCCCTACACCTAAAATAAATTTTCGAACACATTTTTTACTGATTATTTAATATATTTACAAATATTACGATTAACAAAATAAATATTCCACTACGTAAAAATCAAAGAGATGTGCTTGAATATTTTTACATAATATGTTAAAATCAGGTGCTATTGTCGTAAGTTGCAATCGGATTTCAAATTCTGCATTAAGCGTATTACGATATTTTGTTGCTACTTACATACGTGGAAAATGATTTTTTGCAGAGGTACGTAGTTACAAAAGGCATTATACATTTATTACCTGGTCAACAATTTCAGGATAGTCCTTATAAATCTCTAGCCAATAAGTTATAAGCCGACTTACTTGCACTTGCATAAATAGATAAAACTCTTGCAGTAACTTATACGCGTGTACTTATAAAAATAAAAAGTTTTATGAGTATTTTTTGAATTTTGTAATTATCGATAATAAAATTTTAAATTTTTGACTGAGTCGCGCCAGAGAGGTTGTGCCGAACACAGTTTGAATACCGCTGGACTAGAAGATAGAACGGATACAAAAATTTATATAGAGCAAAGCTCATTTATTTTTCAATAAGGAATTCATCGCTAGTCTGTTACTCCGAAAACAAAAATTCTTTTCGTAACTGTATATAAAGAAAATTTTCGCTGGCAGAGATATTATAAAATTACCTACAGACTACGAAATTCTGAGTATCTTTTATTATTACTTCTTCAAAATAACTTCTATAACTTCTTCAAAATTAATTTTGGATCAACGGTGTTTTGGACGTTTTTTTTCGTATACCTACTCGTAAGTATTATAAAATTAGGTACATATTTATACAAAACTAGATACTAACGAAATTAAGGAAATTATTTATTTTCTGGGTTACTGGTCACAATAAACACTTAGTTTATAAAACTATTATTCATTTTAACATTTATTTATTCGTTACGATCGTTTCGGGTTTTATCCCATCTTCAGATAACACCATTATATACATGGATTACAAAAATATTTCTTATATACATAATTGTTAAAATCTAAAATCTTTTTTTACATCTATTAAACAAAAACATTATTAAAAACACATGTTTTTGTTTAATAGATGTAAAAATATTTTTAGAAAATTTAGAAATGAGAAAATTTTTATAATGATGCTGTTATCTGAAGATGGGATAAAACCCGAAACGATCGTAATAAATAATGTATGAATGAATTAAACTAAGTGTTTATTTTGACCAGTAACCCAGAAAATAAATAATTTTCAAGAATTAATTATATGGTCAGGAAATTATATATTTAAGAAATTAAGGAAATCACAATAATGGCTGAAAAAATAAAAAATATATATATTTTACATTATATGAAAAGTGTCCCAAAAGAAATGCAGGATTTCATATTTTAATAATTAAAAAGTTGGCAAAGTTTTTACATATTTTTAGAGGATAGACATTAAATATGAAAGAGAATATGGGACAGATATCCTCCGCGACCCATTCTTTATTCAAGAAAATTCTATATCACGCTCTCGCATAACTGTGGCTGAATTTCGTTGATAAATCTGCGAATTTACGCCTTTAATTTAGGAATGGTATTCATTTGGGCAGAATAAACCTTGACGAATTCCCACAGGAAAAGTCGCATGGCGTAAAATCGCATAATCTTGGTGGCTAAGTCACTTCACTGTTAGTGAGATTAAATTTTTGTTGTAAGTGCAAGTGGATAGTTTTACTTGCCATATGACAAGTAGCACCATCTTGTTGGAATCACATGTCATCTAAATCCATGCCATCAAATGAAACTACAAAAAGTTCAATCTGTCGATATCGTTCTCCATTGACAGTCATTGCGTTTCCAGCCTCATTTTCAAAACAGAACGGACCAATCACCCCACCAGCGTAAAATCCACACCACGTAATTTGCGCACAGTCTCAGCTACACAATCTCCGTACTTGTAATGAATATTCATAATCTCCACTCGCTCATCCGTCGTATAGCGCTCCATTTTTTCTAGCCGCAACGTGTTTAGTATAACATGTGACCCTGCAGAATGCTGCCAACGTTTCAGAATGAAAATGGCGCACAATACAAATCCTGCGTTACTTTTGGGACACCCTTTATATGGAACAAAAAATAATACTTACAAAAGTTGTTGCCACATTGTCGGGAAATTCTTTTGCAATTATAGCAAAACTTGCAGTCAAAAATGCTGCATTTCCTAATGCTTCTACGATTCTTATTACAAAACTTAAAATTATAAAAGGATAATGGCCTTCTACCTTGTCCAGGAGACTAAAAATAATTTAAATTTTTAATTAATTATACTAGACTAACTATTTATATACTTATATTGATATTTCATCTCTGCAGACTTGTAAATGGGGTTACTCAGAGAGGGACTTGCTTACTTACATTGTGCGCTATAAAGTTAAACAGATAAAAAATAAATTGTAATTTGGTACTACATTTTGATATTATTATTACTGTAAAAACAATAATCTTATCTTTAATCATATTTTGCATATTCTTATAAAAATAAATATAACTGCGAAGCATTATGCTTCTACTAAAAATCTGAAGCTATCAGGAAGTAATTTTATATTATGTTTTAATATTTATAGCTCAAAAAATAGAATTTAGTGAATACTTAGTACAAAATACTTATAAGAGATACGTACTTTCTTTATCTGCGGAAAAACCTTCTAAGGGGGTGAAAACCACCCCCAACGTTTATCCCCAAAATCAGTTTTTTAAATATCTCTATCTAGTACGATTTGATAATATTTATGAAACCGACTGGGAATTATTTTGCATCAAAATACGATATTATGCGTAATGTTTTGTTCTTATAGTGGTAAATATTATTTTTTGTTTGTTTTGCAAAAATCTTAAAAAACTCAAATAGTCACCAAATTACTTCTGTTCTTTATTAAATTGAATTTTGAATTTGACATATTTCGGTATTTTAAAAAAAAAAGTGAAAATATTAAAAAACCTTGTACAACTATTTTTTTTTACAATTCTGAAACCAATAATTCCTCATCAAAATAAAACAAATGTTTATGAAATAAATTGTAATGATTGCAACGGTATTTATAGAAGAAGAATTTATAACCATAAATACAGGGTGATTCACAACTTATCCAAAAAAATTTGCGAATAGATGCAGCATGAGAAATGGAGTCAATATCGCAGAAAAAATTTTTGTAAAAACCTTATAGTTTCCGAGAAAAAAATTATTGAAGTTATAGTACATTCAACCACTACATAGCTGGACAACTGTAGTCTCTAGTGTCATTCGCAATACGCGTGGAGAGCAACGTGGCCTCAGCGACTTCGAATACTGACATCCGAATTTGTAATCGTCGTTGCGATAGTGTTTACCTGTTATCTGTGATGTTTACAATAGTTTTTTAGTAGTTAGTGTCAAAAATGGTTTGCGTGTATAGCAACTCGGAGTTGATGGATGTCGTTTTAATTTATGGTGAAGCAAGACAACATTTGCATTATGGTAAAGCATTTGTGTTATGGTGAAGCAAGACAACGTTTGTGTCAGTTCGTAGAAACTGATTAAGACGGACCTAAATGTGTTTACACGTTGGTGGATAAGATTTTGAACAATTGTTGTTGTAACATCCGGTATGTCAAATGATTTTATTATTTAAAAACACAAATTAATTTTAATAATTAATAAAGACTAAAGCAGTTGAATTTGCCGATATAAAATAGGTGCTATAAAATTATATTTATTTCTTTTCTTGCGAAAGTTTTTGTCGGTTTTTATGACACCGCCATGCCAGTCGCATTGTGCGAGGTCAAGTTTTACAGTGGACCAGTTTCCAGTGCCGTGCAGAAGTGTATTTTTAAATCATTTTCGAACTGCCCTTTTTTATTTTTTTCTTTACAAAATTGTATTTGTAAGGGTCCCCTGTACATCCAGAATTTTTTTTTGGATAAGTTCTGAATCACCCTGTATAATAATATTAGAAATGAAAATACCTATAAATAGCATTGCCTTGTCAAAACATGCCACAGAATAATTGATCGATTTGAATAATATTAAAATTCTTAATAATGAAAGTAATTGTCATAAAAGATGTATTTTAAAAATGATTCAAATAAAAAGAAATGAAAATTCGATTAATAATAACAGTCTCATTGATGGGTTATCACGTATTTATTTTGACCTAAGTAAATAATTAGATATGTATTGCAAATTTTTTACTACCTTGTATATCTCCTATGAAATATAAAATAAAAATCTATACGATTTCTTATGAACTTTCCTTACCCTGATTTGGTTCGTTTTAAACCAGAATATTTTCACGTCATATTTATATTATGTTTGGCTTAATATATTTAAAAGTTTTAAACAATATCTACGTATGTAAGTTTTAAAATGTTTTTAATAATGTTTTATAATAATTCACGTTTGATGATGTTATCTGAAGACGGAGTAAAACCCGAAACGATCGTAATAAACAATTTCTAGATGAAAAATAGTTTTACAAACTAAGTGTTTTTTTTACTAATATCCCAGGAAATAAATCATTTTTAAGAATCGGTTACATATGAGACTGGTAAATAAATAAATATATCTCTAAATGTATGTATTTTCAAAGTAATAAGCCACACCTCGGTCAAAATAAATAAACACTTCATCCGAGCGTTAGTAAGAAAATTAACGTAGATATTAAACAGTTAGGTAATACCTACACTATTTTTAGTAAGAATTACAAAAAGAAATATTTCATAAAGTACTAACCGGATAGAAATACGTGTTCTAATTTTTGCATTAGAACTACTGCTTTTCTCTTTATTTTCTAGATTTTACATTATAAAATTATAATCTGAAATATGATTCATAATTAAAGACAAATTACTTACCCAAACAAAATGGCACATACTCCAGTAGTGTATATTCCTCCATTAAAAGTAATTTTAGGTCCTATTTTATTAAGATGTTGTCCATATATTGGACTAATTAAAAATACTACAAATTCGAAGATTCCGAAAACTAAACCATATTCTGTTGCAGAACATCCTTTTTTTTCAGCCTGTACACATTTAGTAAATATATAGACATGATATAGACTGTCCCAAATTGCATAGGCCAAACTTCACCTGATGATAAAACTCCTCGAAGTAAAATAAAAAATTCCCATAAACATGTGTCGAGAGTTGTTTAGGATGCAGGGTATTCAAGTTGAAATATTGAAATAATTTGTGTTCTATTCTTAAATATGATTTGTAATTCCAAATGCAGTAAAAACTCATTAAGGTTAGGCACATTACTGCTCCGTGTCCTGGTTTAACGTCCGCCAAATGACCCATTGTTAACAGACGAAGTGACTTTTTGGACGATCTTATAAACTGCTGCTGTTCGGTGAAATAAAAGCTAAGTTTTGGAACAAGATTATTGTCTTGCTTTCACACGATAATAAAATCATCGTTGCTCATACTTTTGCGTACTATTTTGCGAATTTTGTTTATTTTACAATAACCTAAGGGACAAAAGGAGTATCAGTAGACCTATTCATGATTAATGTACATATAGAATTTACTAAGCCTAGTTTTTTGATAGTTAATTACAGTAGTTGTTTACACAAACATATTGTGGTCAGTCAAGCGAAACTGAGAACAGGTGTCTCAGATACACTATCAAAGTTGTCGTACCTACTGAGGTAATAGATCGTTTTATTTATGGTTAATATAACANAATTTTACTATTGATAATTTTGCCATTACCAATAAGACCAGTGATGTAAATATTAATACTACGAAAACACCTCCAACCATACATTTTAATAATTGTCATAACCTTACAATTAATTTTATAAATAAATAAACTTTAGTTGCCCTAGTAACAGCAATCCAATCATACGCTAATTTTAAATAATTCATTATAAAAATTTCTAATTTTAAATAAATGTTTCCCAATCTACAAATTATTATTATTTTTTAAACAATATGATGAGTGAGTAGTCGTAGATAAAGTATAGTATTTGCCTCGCGTATAATGGCTATATTACACTCGCCTACGGCTCGTGTAATATAGCCTACATTATACGCTCGTTAAATAATATACTATTTTTTCATGAACGTAGAAAAAATATTGTATGCAACTCGTGCAAAAAGTGTTTATTGCACTCGACGTGTTGTCAAACTCGGCCTAACGGCCTCGTTGGACAAATTCACGTCGCGTGCAATAAACACTTACTTTTTGCACTTGTTGCATAAATAACTATTATTATCAGGATAGACGACAACTTTGATAGTGTATTAGAGACACCTGTTTTCAGTTTCACTTGACTGACCACAGTATGTTTGAGTACTTACTACTACTGTAACTATAAAAAAACTAGGCTTAGTAAATTCAAGCTTTTTTTTTGCCTCTAACTATTGGACTAATAGCAACATAGTACGGCAACCCATTAAAAACTGCTTTGTCTAATTCGCGAATTAAAGGCAATATGTCATATTTCTTTCATTCTGAAGTCTATTTCTTTACTCTATTGTTTTTTGTTTCATATAATATAACACAAATAAATCCATAATACCAATGTTTTTCTTTACCTGTAGTCCACTCATCTTAAGTATGCGAGATACTTTAACGGAGTATTTTAGATTTACTTAAAATTCCAAGTCCACGATTAGGTGTACCCAAAATTCGTGGATTTGGCCACTAACTAAAGGTTTGCGAAAGTGAAGGAACTGCTCACTATGGCAATTAGGGATATGGACTTTACAATCTAATTGGTAAATAATTTCTGGGTTGGCTACTACGTTACAAGCTTCTTGAACAGACGTGGCGAGTGAGCCTGCAAACCAATCTAAAATCTAATTCATTCGCACCCGTCGACAGATCAAATCGACGGGTGCGAATGACATTAAATTCCTTTAAGTATGAAACAATTTGGAAGCTGACTTTTAAATAAAGAAATAATCAAAATAAGAAAACTAAGAAAGCACAAACAAAAACGATCGAAAAACTGAAAAGCACTGACGAGTGACATCAAATTTCTTTAGATATGAAACACTAGGTGGGTTTAACCTTGACATAAAAGGAAATTAAATATTGCTGGAATAAATATGTACCAACGAAAATAATTAAAGTAGTAAGAAACACCAACGGAGCCCTAACTAACGATATAAAAATCATTTAGATGCGAAATACTTTGGGGACTGTCCTTGAAATGAAAAAAATTAAGTATGTCTCTAAAGCGAACTAATTCGCAATAATTAACAGTAATTGCGTTTCGATTTTGAAAATTTTGGGCTCACCTTGAAATTTTAAAAAATCAAATATTGCTGCAATAAAATATGCACTAATAAAAATAATTAAGGTACTAAGAATCACTAACAAATGTCGTTAAATTCCTTTAGATATGCATTTTGGGGGCTGACTTTAAATAACAAAATAATCAAAACAAGAAACCCATGGGAGCATATAAGCATTAAAAAGCACTAACCAGGAATTAATGAGTGACATCAAATGTACTTTGGAGATTAACCTTGACATGAATGGAAATCTAATATTGCTGGAACTAAAGATGTACCAACGAAAATAATTAAAGTACTAAGAAATACGAACAATATAAAAATTCTTTAGTTCCCAAACACTTTGAAATCTGACCTTGAAATAAAAAAATCAAATATTGCTAAACTAAAATTGCCAAAACAAAAATTAATTAAGGCATTAAGAAGCACTAACGAATAACGTGTAGGTAGACATTTTCGTGGCTGACTTTGAAATAAAAAGTAATAATCACTCGAAAGCATTTAGAAACATTAATGAATGATAAATTTTGTTTGAATTCTGAACATTTTAGAGGCTGACCTTCATATAATTAAAAGAAAATAAAAAAATTTTGAAACTGAAGAAGCAATAAAGAAAATAAATGAAGCAGTAAAAAGCACTAACGCAGCATCAACGACCTTGAATTTTTTATGAAAAAATTTGATATCTTGGGTGATAAGTTCAGGGACTTATTTCTTCGTGGGTGTGTTTACCGCTCTTGAGAAAATGTTTTTTGGGATGTCATTTACCGTCATATTAAGGCTATATTACGGCTATATTATAGCACCGTTTGCCTAGGAAACTAAAGCTTTACTACAAAAGCATTCGGTGGAAATTCCGTATGCTACTGAAATTTCGATCCATCAAGGTTGACGTTAGCCGAAACAAGAAATATCTTTAATTTACAGGTTTGCGTTTAGGCGGGCCCGTTTTTTAGTCAACACCCTTTCTTACAACTCCAAAACGAGAAAATTCACAAGAATTCAATTTTCTTTTAGGCGGGTCCAATTCCTCACCACATCTCTTCCATTTAATCTCCTTGAAGTAATCTCCGAGTGTCGGCCATCCCGAGGAACGGAACACACCCTCTCCTACAACCCCCAACAAGAAAATTTCGCAAAAATTTTCGTTTAGGTGAGTCAAATTTCTCGTCACATATCTTCCATTTAATGTCCTCAAAGTGGTACTTGAATTTCTACCCCACTTAGGGTTTGGTCTTCGGCACCTCAGGGGAGAATGGCACTTGGGGATTACTTTAAGGACATTAATGGAAGAGATGTGAAGAATTTGACCCGCTTAAAGGAAAATAGAATTTTTGCGAATTTTCTCGTTTGGGGGATGCCCGCCTAAAAGAAAATGTATTTTTTGCCAATTTTTTCGTTTGGGGTTGCAGGAAAGGGTGATCTGCACATCGAGAATGAACGGAACTCAAGTATAAGTTCCAGGGCAATAAATAGAAGAGGTGCGGTGCAGCATTGGATCCGTCTAAACAAAAATTTAAATTTTATTTTTACCAATTTTCTCGTTTGAAGGTTGTAGGGAAAGGTGTATTCCACACCTCGTGGAAAGCCGACACTCGGACATGACTTCAAGGACATTATATGAAGGAGATGTGGCAAAGAATTTGACCCACCTAAACAAAAATTGAATTTTTGCGAATTTTCACGTTCTTGTGATGCAGGAAGGGGTGCGGTCCGCACTCACGGGCAGACGAAACTCAAGTATCACTTCGAGGATATTAAGAGGAAAGGATCCGCCTAAACGAAAATTGAATTCTTGCGAATTTTTTCGTTTGGGGATTATAGGAAAGGGTGTGTTCCGTACCATGGGGTAGACGAAATTATTGGTGTGTTTCGAGGAAGTTTACTGAAAGGGATGTGATCGATTGATTGATCGATCGAAAGTTCAATGGCATGATTCTGTTTTCTTTTCTGTCTTCCATTTCTGCAGCATGTGCTGTAATTCCCAATTCACTATTACGAAAATTACCAAACAAGCTCTTCTGTTTACAGAGCCTTCATAAATGTTTACAAGCCACGTGATCTCCGAGCTTAGACAACCCAACATTGCACGACTGGTACTGGTAACGAATAATCCCTAAATCTTGGCGCCACCAATATTAATGATTCGTTTACAATGAACAGCAACAAACCGTTATGCTTAGGTTCGAGATAATGCAACCGCTGATTAGTTGAATAGAAAAATTACACTAATGAATGTCGGTGAAACAAATGTTGTGTTTTAACGTAATCTTGATCTTATTGTTTTAATAATATTTAATTTTACCGAAATTTAATGGCCAACATGAAGGAAATAACATTACTGTTTCAAACAAAATTACTGGTCACGTGGCTTATAATCATTTATGAAAACTTTGTATAAGCACATATTTCAATGACAATGTAGACTACTAATATAAAAGAATGTCACTAGAGTTGAACAAGTAACAAAATAACGGGCGAGTCTCGGTTATGTGAGATTATTTTTACAAACAGGCCAAACACGGCCATCACTCTGCCGACGCGACGCGTCGCGACGCTACGCTCGGCCTTGCTACAGTGCGCTAATATGATCCAACTTTAAAGATAAATAAATGAAAATGTTCAGATATTTAACTTTGTAGTTTTTACAATAATATCAAATAGATATAGAATTGGATTCTATTTGAGATTTTGAAAAAAATCGTTGTACGTGAAAATTAATAATATTATATAAAAACTGCAACATTAACTGTAAAAATTTTTTAATTTTCTGGAC